CCCCCCCCCCCGCCCCACATAAAGAAAAAAAAATTAGGCACTTTGGCACTAGACAAACGTGAAAATTTCATCTCTGTGACCTGTATATCTTATAGTATTATTGACCTCATTTAGTATATTTGCCAAACAAATTAAAGCGGTGCAAGAATTTTATCTTTAAATCCGATTTCAAGGGATGTAGTGCATATAAACGAAAGTAAACTTCTGGATTATATGCTTTTATTTCAGGCAATTTTTTTCACAGACTATGCAGAATGATTCCCACTAGCTACGCTTTAATAAACCATGAAACGCGTGTTATCCATTAGGCCGCACTGAGTTAATTCTACGGATGCCAACATTTGGAGACCTAGAAACATATGCGAGAGGGCGAAAAAAATTATATAAAAAAACTCTGGCAAAAGTGCTGCTAAAGAAAAGGAATACAACTAGAAATGCAAATTCAACTACGTGAAATGCTTAAGAGTCAGCAGTCAGGTACTTTTTGTATCTAACCTAGGAATTGTAGCCGTATTGTCCTCTTCAATCCGGACAAAGCAACCGAACTGGCGAGTGTATGACCCATTTTAAGGCTACCTCAACTATCCTCGCTTATCTTTCGTCGTTGCAAAAAAAAAAAAAAAAAAAAAAAATAAAAAAAATAAAAAAAAAAAAAAAATAATAATAATAATAATAATGAATAAATAAAATGAAAAAATAAATAAATAATTAATAATAATTAAAACGGTGTGAGTCGCTCCGAATAGGACGATTTTGTAGTAGTTTGGACGATAGTCGCTCGTCGCCATCAGTCCCTTTGTACAGTTTGGAGATATCCCGACCCCTCAACACCGATTGCATATCAATCTATAATCACGCCCCCGTCTCCTTGTTAACTTTTATACTTATGTATTTTGACAACGACATTGGTAATCCTTGAGAGACAACGACGACGCGGCCGCCATCTTTGCCACCGCTTTTTGCGCCATCTGCAATATGCTGATGTTTCATTTTACCACAAATTCAGCAGGTTTTGTAGTAGAAGATTAGAAATTTTTTCGACAGCCCAGACCCTCAAGTTATGTTAAATGGACAAAAACACGGACAGCGATAATTTTTTACTTTTTGAGAACAGGCAAACATTAATGCGTGCGCGGATATCAGTTTTAAAATTAAATCAAGATGGCCTTATATATGAACTCATAGTTAATATAACCAGGATAGTAGACCGACAAAAAATACTGTGCGGGTGCAACAGTTAAAAGCATGATAGAATAGGAAGGTATAGTCTGAAGTCTTTTTCTCTGGTTGTTTAGTTCATTGTATAGTGAGAGCCGAGCGTGCCGCCCGTGGTACTCATTCGGGGCGAGCTTAGGAAAAATTAGGAGCTGACGACCCTGACTACGGTACAGTACTCACAATGCTAGTATAATAGTCATTAGTTGTCATGTGTAGATTCCCAGACTTGGCAAAGGTTGATATAGGCCATGTGAATCAGCACAGACACTTTGAAATGTACAATAGGTGTGCCCCATATATGTGCATAGGGACCATTCCCAAACCCTATCGTATTAACTGTGGATCGATCTATCTCCAAGGGTTTCTAGCTAAACTGCAATCAACTTAAGCGGTTTAGATGTCTGTCACGCCTACTGAAGCTGCTAGGGGGTAATTAATTATCGTTAAACAGCTTCAGTAGGCGTACCAGACATCTAAGCCGTTTAAGCTGAAAGCAATTTAGCGAGAAACCCCTTGGAGATAGACCGATCCTGTTAGATTGATCTAGGTATGGAAACCCAGTCTATGGCTACTGGGTACATGTAGGTAGGTTACATGCAGTTGCGATATGTTATGACAAATTTCACGCCTTGCCCAGGCAGCTCAACGTTATGCTGCAGTCTATGGGCCCACTAACAAATATTCTAACACCGCTGACAACACAGGCGATGAAAATTCCGTCGGTATTGTTGCATTTTTTTAGCATTTAATACAACAAAAACCATACTGGCGCAATAGCTACATAAAATAGCATCTCGGCAAAATAATCTTGGTATCAAACGCACGGTTTCAATTGCTGTTTTCATTTGAATGTAAAGATGTTTACTCCCTGTTACACTGGGCCTACGACCGATCTGAGACCGACTTTTTCCCTCTCTTATCCCCTTCAACAAAATTTGATAGTCAACATCAAATTTATACATCAGTCGTAAAGAACAGTAAATATGACAGCATTATCTCTAGTTACATATTTGTGAGAATGGAACAGAGTCGCAAGCCCGGTGTAATCTATGCTTTATCTATATATTTATCTATATTATCTATATCTACAGGGTTGCTATTTAATATGGAATATTTTTTATCATTGTTATTTTTGAGTGCTGATTTAATTTTTTTGGTTGGATTCATCAAAAAAAGTATGTCACTGAGTGATACAAACATCCAGTCTTCTGTTGTGAGATATTTTGGTCAATAATATCAAATCTGACATAAGATGCCATACAACAGNTTATTGATAGCCTTTTTCCTCTGTTCAGCCTTGAAGACATGTTATAAGGACGAGGAGGCAGGCGAATTCGACTGGAATAAGTACACGTGCCCAGATAGCACCCCGGAGTGCTGCGTGGAGAGTGAAGAATTTACATGCTGTCAGACCGAGGCACAGAAAACACTGTGAGTAAATTTTGGACGAGGTCGAGGAAGACTCATCGTTTTGCCATGGTTAAAGATATATTTAAATGGCTTAACATAAAATTAAAGAGAACGTACACGCGGTTTGTAGAATGAAAACAATCAAACAAAGTTATTCTGTGCCCTTAACTCCTGAATGTATATTTCCAGTTATCAACAACTTCAGCTATGGGGTGGGGTGGTAGGATTCATGCTCATTGTGACGGGTGCCTATCTCTGCTACAAAAAGGAAACTAACATTTGCGAAAAAAGCCTCAAGGAAAGGTGCAGTTGTGGCAAAAAGTAAGTTCAACCTTGGAACCTAATCTCACTTTACATAGCTTACTTAGCTTTAGATAAAGATTGCAGCAACTTTAAGGCGAGCTTCCATGGGGTTGTTGGTTCGATGTAACTCAATACGACCCAATTCCAGTTGGATGTGTGATTACGATTAGCTGACCACGGGCGGCAGTTCTAATCCCTCTGTTGTCACACCCAGCTTCAGTATAATTGAGGTGGATTGTTCTAAGTTAGGTCGATCCATCTCCAATGAAAACGGCCCTAAAGTGCGCTGCCACAGTAATCGTGTCAAATTATTTTTAATTTGGACTAAAATACTGATTCTATATATAAAAAACGAAGAAAAATCAATAACTATTATTATTCAGATAAACTATTGATTAAATGATTCTGTTAAATACTTATAATAGACGATTTTCGGGAACATAACGCCCTGCTTTCTTGTTTTGTAGGCAAGAAGCGAAGGAAGAGACAGAACTAGAACTTACTGTGTTACCAAGTGGCGACCTCGGGAGCGCAATGAGGCGCGAGGGGACGACCCTCAGTCAGTACGCTGCTTCACAGGCTCTGAACAACGATCTGACAAAACTATCGTCCGGTAACTACGAGAAGAATGAAAACAAAGACTCACAATCCATTTCAGAGTCGTCGGCGGATCGGAGGACTAAAAATGAAGATAACTCCGATGCACATACACCAACAAATGAAACTCCGGCAAATAAAACGAAACCAAAGAGTGCCACAAAGTTTCAGTGGAAAAAGAAGCAAGAGCCGTCCGAAGTAGCCGAGTCGAAATACAATTGGAAGAAAAAGAAGGTCGAGGAAAAGTGTTCGCCCTCAACACCAAAGAACCCCTATATATACATACCATGATAATTACTTTTTATTACATGTATAATAAAACATCATATGGATAATAATAGACATTTGAAGATTCCGTCCTCCTCTTCCATATGACTGTGCCTGATGTCGTCAGAACAAAGTTTAAGGAAAGTGATGATGATATGACCAGTTGCGTGATATTCGCGACAGTGATTTTATTGGATCAAAAGTCTGCATATATTTTTAAATAACTTGTACAGAAATTTTTTGTATACATTACAAGGAATTGAAAAGGGCACGCAAATTAGAAATGATATCATTTAGAGCCAGGTTGAAATCCATATGTTAAGAACCTTTAGGCCCAGCCCAATAGACACCATCGGTCTTCGCACATGTAGATCGATCCATTTCTGCGGTGCATCTCGCTGAGAGCAATCAGCTTAACTGGATGACACGCCTCCTTTTGTTTCCAACGAATTCGAATAAGCACGAACCTTTCTGTATGCAACATAAGGCCAGGAGGAGACGTGCCATGCAGTTGGACTGCTTGCACTCAGCAAGACTTCCCACCGAGTTGGATCGATTTATGGAAGTAGATCACTGGTGTCTATGGGAATGGGGCCTTAGACCTTCTTGAATCTTGTTTTCAAATAGAATATTTTAGATTTAGAAACATTTATGTGTCATTATTTTCTAACCAACGCGTGTTCATAGTATTGATGACAATATATGTTTTTCATACACCTGACATCATTTTATGGTTGGAATCAGTTCTGCAAAAAAATTTTTCATGGTTCCTTTGATCATCCCTTCTATTTAAAATGTTTGTGCAAGCGCATGGTTTGTTATTATTTCACAAAAAATATTCTTAATGCAGAGCTACAAAACATGTTTTGGAGAGCCATGGTTTTAAACTGTTGAAAACGTGCACTTAGTATTGATCTGTGGAGACTAGAAATATCTAAGTGATAACACTTTAACTGACAATAGCATATTATATCCGATGATTATGTTTTATTACAAGAAGAAAACGATATTGAAGGCGCGTCGCGATGCCAATTAATGAATTGTGTTCCAAAATATATAATTTTAAAAAACAGTTGCATAAAGGAATAAGGTCTCAAACTGAAGAAATAATAAAAAGTTGTATATATGTGGGAAAACGAGGGAAGAAGAAGTAGAGAAAGACAAAGAACATTATACAACAAATCAACAACTGTACAATAACAAGCTCATCCAATTAACTGAAAATAGAGTAAACTGAAGAACCGTGATCGTCGATGTCTGCACCAGGTCTGACACATGGTGATGAAACGTAAAGACGTTTTGTTGACGGCTTGTGACTTATCATGTGGCTTTATATTCAATTCATTTCTGCACTGGTACAAATATTATCATGAACTTGTATAATATAATATAATATAATATAATATAATATAATATAATATAATATAATATAATTGGTGCATTACCATTCTGTAATTGGTATTTGCATTAGCAGTTTATAAATGAACAAATCTTTTTATATAATTGACAGATGTATTACATGTAGTATAGATACTACTGAAATATTTTAACTAAACGGTGAAATACAACTTATTGGAGTGTTTACATATTAATCGTAAATAAATCATGCAATGTGCGGTAACAATCATATGTAATATACAGGGTTGCTATTTAATATGGAATATTTTTTATCATTGTTGTTTTTGAGTGCTGATTTAATTTTTTTGGCTGGATTCATCAAAAAAAGTATATCACTGAGTGATACAAACATCCAGTCTTCTGTTGTGAGATATTTTGGTCAATAATATCAAATCTGACATAAGATGCCATACAAAAGAAAGGAACACCCCCAGAAAACCATATCAACGTTAACATTTTGATGTCAGTATTAACTTTAAGCTAAGGTATTAAAGAAAATGATAGCCTCCGGACAGTGATATGTTACACAGTCAAAGAACTCACTACAGTAAATCATGAAAAGTCAGTAATTGCGGGTATGACCTCCAGCAGCCGCTTGCAGCGCCCTCATCCTACATGGCATATCCTGTGACACGTTTTTTTAGAGTTTGGATGGGGATATCATTCCACGCAGTGATATTTGCCTGTCGCAATTCATCACTTTTTACCGGATGATGACCATAGCTATTAATTCTGTGAGTTACTTTTGCCCAAAGTTTTTCAATTGGGTTCAAATTTGGAGAGTTTGCAGACCAGGGCAGTTGCTGAACCCATTGGTTTTGAAGAAAAACAGTGATTCTGCGGGCTCGATGTGGGGTTTCGCAGTCGTCTTGGTACACAAATTTGTTCCTGAAGATGACTCTTACCTATCGAAGCATTGTTTGCTGTAGAATGCCTCTGTAGGAATCCTGGATGAGGTTGCCTCCTAGAGAAACCAACTGGCTCTGGGCACCGACATGAAATGCTCCCCAAACAGAGACGTTACCATCCCCTGCTTGCACCCTAGGCAGTACACAATCATCGTTTTATGTCCCTCGTACACGTCGGTGAACACGGATTCGACCATCAACCCAAAGAAATTCATATCTGGCCTCATCACTGAAAACGACGCGATTCCAGTGTTTTGGCTGCAAACGCACGTGGTCCCCAGCCCATTGCAGACGTCGCTGTATATGACCTGCTGTTAACTGTGGTTTCCCTACTGGCCTTCGTGCAAAATAACTGGCATGCAGTAATCTCTTGTTCACGAGGGACCTTGAAACGGGCGTTTAAATAACATTCTGCCTCTCTTTTCTGAGGACACTGGTTGTCTTTGTACGACCAGCACGGCGTCCTCTAAGAAGATGGCGGTCCTGTCTTCTTAGTGTGATACGGGGACACCCTGGTCGAGGTATTGGAGTAGGTGCCCCTGTTGCAGCATTTCTTTGGTGGACTTTACAAACGGTTCCTGTTAAATGTTGAATTACCTGGCAAGTGCTGTCTGTTTCTGGCCATTTTCTCTGAGAGCAAGAATCCCATAGTAAGCTGCGTTGCGTAGATGTCGAACCATATCTTCACTAAGGTACCTGTCAAGTTTCAGAGCGATCCCTTTGTTGCTTCTCTAAACACACTCCAAAGATTGACCAAACCCATGTGTTTTTGTACAAGGGCAGAAATTGCCGAAAAAATCACCCCTCACATTTCTGACCACAGAACATGCAACTGCATGCATCAATTGTTTCGAGAGTTGTGTGGTAATTAGGTAACATACCTGGTTACACATGAAGTGACACCTCAGTTTTAGATTTAAAACAGTTAGAGAGAAATAAAATATTTTGTAGAAAATTTACTCGCCAAAAAATAATATTCCATATTAAGTGGTAACCCTGTATGCCTGTTACAATTTACAGAGAATATGCTAGGAGTTACCAAATTGAGCAACCACTTCATCTCTTTGTTTTAAACTGGAAACGGAGACTAAACTATCTTTGTTGGCACTGTTATACATTTTGTATAATTTACAAAACATGTAGAGCACATGGGTTCTACAAGGTGATCACATCATCCCCTAAGAGACTAGACGTACACTACACATTAGATTAGTTCTATACCTTTATGTATGGAGAGCAATGTCACTACAGACATATAAAGTTAATGTATGGCATCAGATGATAGATGATGGCTTGTATCTGTTATTACAGGGCAGAGTGGGTGAAGACACTGGGGAGTAAGTAAGTGCTTCATTTATTGATATTTCTGTTGGGAATGTAGTTAAGCGTTGAGTGACTTGACTTTCATTTGGGTAAACTGACAATCAAAAACACGAGTATTAATATGTCTATATTTATATATGATGTTTCAAGCAATCGATGGAAGCAAAGTGTTACAGAGAATGAAGAAATGTATCCATGTGGTTACACCAGTGACTTTTGTCCTTGGTTTCACTGAGACTTGACTAATGTACATGTATATGTATTATATTGGAATAGGCAAGTGGAACGAGATGCTCAGTTTACCTCCGAAAACGACATTTGGAGAAATGTGATTAAAAAACTGAGACCGAGTCGAAAATACTTCACATTGATTTTTCTTAACAAATTAGATGCACTTTAAGTAGGAGGGTGTGAGGGGTAGCCAAGGCAACGAAACCTAGATATGCTTGTAACTATTTGTAGATATTTTTAAGAAGTCGATCGCTACCAGTTTTGCGTTTCATGAAGTTCCTTTAATAACCGCCAAATGAAAGAACCCCATATCATTATACCTGGTAATACCATTCTTATTGCAGGACTATTCTCAGTGTAAATATTGCTGATTTCAATTGGCTTCGACCGAATAAAGTGCTCCATGCTTTTCTATCACTTCGTAAAAAATGTATTTTAGAAAATTTATTAGGATGTAACATGCATTTGAGGTGAAAGCATGAATTGTTAAATAAATATATATGGCACTCAAGTATTTTCATTTTCACTATGAAAAAAAAAAAACTTCTTCTAGCGAAGCCGACTGTTGCGTATATTGATTTGCCGGCGCCCCTTCGGATGCCATCTTTCCGAGACAGTCGATTTTCTTTAAAGGCGCGAAAACGCGTACTTTTGAAGCCTTTGTCGCTGTTTGCCGACATCGGCGTCTACCCAGAAACAAGGATACTTTCGTTTGCCTTCTCAGATTCGGAAAACAAAAAATCAGGTGCATTCTATTGCACAACTACAATGAAAGTTAACGTTATACAGCTCATTTGTTTTCTCACGACTGTACGTGAATTCATGCAAGCTTTACCTGTCAAGGTTTCGGTACTTGCCGCCTTTTCGCAGAAGTGAATGTAAATATTAACCTTGTAATTTTTTAAAGTCGAGCGGATAAAAACTGATACACCTCTCTATCCTTTTATTTGTACTCAAATAATTTCACGACACAATTTCACATATGTTCTAAGTTTAATTATCAAATAGCATGATGAAAATGATGAATTTAAGTCAGACATACCCAGGTAGCGATCAACTTAGAGCGGGGTAAACAGGAGTACATGCCACTTACGATAAACGATTATAAATCGTTAAACAGACGTGCGCGGGGTTTTGCCGCAGAAAAACAATTAACGGATTTTCGCTGCCTGTTACACAGTATTTACTAATCATTACACTATGGCGTTTCAAACTGAAAAACCCACCATGAATGTCATCTTCAATAATTATTATTTGGCTAAGTGGATCTGTGTGATGCTCATATTTCACGCCGTATCAATCTGCTGATATGCTGACAATTCATACCCCCCCCCCCCCCCATGTATCAAATATGTATAGTAGTGGTNGCTCGCCAAAAAATAATATTCCATATTAAGTGGTAACCCTGTATATCTATATTAGTAATCCGGCTTTATCTATGATCGGTCGGTAACGAAGAAATACAATGGATATTTATTAATGCATCATCTCCACTGTAAAAAATCCAACATTTGTATGCCTTAAATTTATATAGAAATATTCTTTAGGTATGCATGATAAACTGGGCATCATCTTCGGTACAGTCTCAATTCCGGCGCCTTTCTACAGAGAGCATGAGGATTAGTCAGAGTGGCCAAAGAATTCTTATATCATTCTGATAACATTTTTTGAACATTATTTCGGACAGAAGCCGATAGAGAAGGTCTACAAGGAAAGAAGTTAGAAGTTAGCTGAATGGTTAAAAAACATGTTTCGGAGCATAATACCCCGGATTAGGATTCGCAGACGCCTATTATTTATACTTGTGATGGCTTTTCAACTGTGTTTCCTTCTGTATGTCCTTTTCATGAACTACAAAAGTAACATCAAAATTGGTAAGAATGTTGGTTCAAGCACTGGGCGCCTTAATGAACAAAAACTGATGAGAACTGCTAAAAGTTCTGTGGCTACATGCAAAACAAAGGCAACCAGGCGTTTTCCAGATCTGTATTCTATTGCTCCAGTTCAGCTGGACAAAACAAATGTGGGAGATCAGTATTTCGTCTCATATAACGGAACTCGATGTTTCAAATTTGGTACTCTTAGGCGAAAGGAAAAGAATGGGTGTGTTTGTCAAAAAGGGTGGACTGGAAACGCCTGCAGCACACCAGAAGTTGCAAGGGTAGGGATTTCGAAACTCCCACAAGAAATTCAAAGAAAAATAAAAATTCGCAAACATCCAAGAAAGGTCGTTATTTCAATGCTCCTGAATCACGAATTTGACACTCTGGAAGCACTTGTGCGTGAGCTAACAGGGTTGGTCGACGTAGTGATGATAGAAGAGTCGAATTTCACGCTTCACGGGGACCCCAAATTACCTTTGTTCTACCAAAAGCTACATTCTGGATATTTGTGCGATTTTTACTCAAATATCATCTATATTTACTTAGACCACTTTTTGGAAGACGGTAAAACGAACGGATTCAAGATGGAGGGATATGCAAGAAACTATATCAGCAAGGGATTCCCGAGCATTGCAGAACTACGACCAGACGATCTGTTTCTTCATCTTGACGCCGATGAGGTTCCGTCCCGTGATGCAATAGCCTTTCTCAAATTCCATGACGGGTACCCTGAGCCCTTTGGCTTTGTTCTGAGGTGGTCTGTGTACGGATATTTCTGGAAAATGAACCGTGTTTGGACAGTGCAGTCCGCAGGGTGTTCGGTAGGCATGCTCCGCCAAGTTTATGACAACCAACCTGGTACAGTACGAGGAGGAATAGGCCACATTCAACAGGGAAAGATAAGAGAGTACAAGAAAGGAGGAAACGATGTATTGGTATGGCAACTCGGGGAACAGGGTAAATTTGCCGGATGGCATTGCTCATGGTGCTTCGATATAAATGGCATCAAAACGAAGTTGTTATCCGCCTTGAGTGGGGATGGAGAGCGTTTTGGTGATGATCCGAAAAAGCAGAAATTGGACTTCCTTCGTACCTTAGTGAGAGAGGGACGCTGGTTTGATGGCGATTATCTGGAGCCAAAAGGCATAAAAATGGCCTCTCCCGCTACCGACAAGTTTTTCGCCCCTAATTTTATATTATCAAATAAGAAACGATTTAAGCATCTTATCACAAACTATCTTTTGGATGAAAACAAAAAAGATGACAAATAGGCAACTGCATGAACTGAGCATATAAACAAAAATTATTTAATAATTTGGAGCAATTTCAACAAAAATATGAGTATGTATATGATAATTTTTACTTGTAATTGGGTCTTCTCAACATTGCCGAATGTACTAGTATAGTATTTTTCATGTAGATTCTTCCAGTGATCGATGCGTTCTTTAAAGATATATTTGAAGAGAGGTTTTTTTAAAAAGGAAATCAGAGAGCATCTGCCAAAATATCTTTATCAGCATGGGTGACAAATCTCTAAGGCATCCGTCTATTTGAAGCGATATTATGGTATTAGGTGGGGCTTATAGTGGAACTAATTTTACATAAGTAGGCGTATACTGTAGGTACTCGCTTTGTATGCATCTTTAGATAATGATAGTAACAATATTCATAATATCTTTATATAGCACAAATATGTTTTATGGTGAAATTTAAAAAAGGGGGTCCCATTGGGTATTTTCGTTACCCTTGAAATCCACTTTTTATTTTCTGAGATTGGGGAAACATTCATATCTATTACAGGCCTACCCAACTACCAGACTCGGCACCTAAGGATCCTGAATTAACCGGTATTTCGGACCACGCTACCCGTTTTCAAGGTGTGTGTAAGATCGCATTTCGGAGTATCATACCCCAGAACAAATTTTGTAGCACGGCTGCGGGCTCATCCACGCTCGGCTGAACAACCTGAAACTGTACTCTTACTTTAGAGTACTATATTTCATTGTCTCTATGGGGGTATATGGGGACTTTACGACATTCGGTTTGAATGTTTTAACCACTTTTGATAGGGCTTTTTTGCATTGTATTAGATTAATGTGGTAGTCTAAGGTTCATCTAGGTGGCTTTCAAATTTATGCGCCCGGTTTTAAAATCATATAGCGATTTTACGACAATCTTTTACTATCCAATCAAAGTGACAGCCGAGCATGCCAGGGCTCATCCTGTCGGTGTTCTGGCTGATACTCCGAAATGCGATCTGACACACACCTTGAAAACGGGTAGTGTGGTCCGATATACCGGTTAATTCAGGATCCTTAGGTGCCGAGTCTGGTAGTTGGGTAGGCCTGTATTAGCAATATCGGCGAAGCTCTCCCTTCCCGTGACTTGTGAATGCAGCTTTTTAATTTTTCATCCTTCGTCGAAGCGTTGTCATGCATTATATATAAAAAAATGGAGTCATTATACCCGGTGATTTATGATTTTCAGGATTTTCGACTCGCATTATTAGTGACATATGACTAGAGTTTTATTTACTGAGATATGACTGGCGTTTTATTTATTGTAAATTGTGAATTGATGATTTTATTTCTCGTGGACTGTGGTCACTACCAGCGGGATCCTCTAAACAGGATCTATATACATGTTAATAATATTACATTGTACGTTTATAAGTATAGTAGTACAGGGAGTGGTGGATTTAGGAGGCTGTCATGGGGGTCCTGCCTCCCTTCGATTTCTGAAAAAAAAAATCACAACAAAGGTCCCCTCTTCAAACTTAAATTTCGACTAGCTGAATCATGGTTCTAAACCGTATCAAACGGCACCATTCGCCCTCTTAAATACCAATTTTTCGGGGCCCTTCAGCGGGCCTCGAACCCCACGCCAAGGAAGGGGGGAGGGAGGGTCGTCTTCGTATCCGCGGACCCCTCTACAAATAATCCTGGATCCGCCCCTGCACACGTATGCCATGCAAAGACAAGTAACCAAATAATACATTACGACAGTGAAGTGGTTCAATAGCTACATATTAAGCCAAGTTTATATGCGCTACAGGTACAAACACGGCTATTGTTGGTGATGGATATTTCCTTTCTTTTGGTTTTTTTTTTGTTTTTTAATAAAGTTCGCTTCTTATTTTTCGAACACTGCTCAGTATGTCTTTACTTATGACTATAGAGCGTCCTTGTGTCTTCTCCCAGGGCCAAGGGCTGATTTTTCACTATGTGTTCACAGATATGTCTCTGGATAATTTTCAACATTTTTCTTTACTTCTGTAACGGACATTAATATGTAATCCCTCAGCTGTCATCTAAAGAGTAATGTTCTTGTGTGACCTGGTGTAACCCAGTTTACGTACAACGGCATGTCGAGACTTAAGTACGTAGGCTTGAAGGCAAGGGGGTGGGGTCGTGAAGGAAGGGGGGGTGGGTGGGTGGGTAAAAAGAATCGATTGGCCGGCAAATGGTCCGCTCTATATCAAAATTTGTCGTACGTTCATGCACGAGTTAAGTCCTGTGCTGAAATGGTAAAAAAAGGATCACTTTTATCTGGCAAAATCCCCCATCCCTTGAAATTGCTGGCTACTGTACCGCTACGGCTACCTGAAGATATACTAGGACAAATAAGCTTGGAGTTGATAACTGATAGACCAGATTACCACGAACACACGTTAGTGAAATAGGTCTGTCTGCTGCGTTCTATTGAAATACAAAAAAAGGACTTGTTGTTGAAAAGGTGTTCTTTTAAAAGAGTAACAACTCTTCATTTTGGAGGGAAACATGCCATATAATACGAAGAATTTTCCTGAGGTAAACGACAACATCCCCATACTTAGCAAAGGTTAATTAATCCATCCTGACATTGAAAGTTTGTCCATTTTTTAAAATTGTATTGTTATTTTTGAGTCAGGATCTTCAGTAACATTATACAATGCTATATCAAGTCAAAATTAAAAGTTTTAGATCCTCTTGTTATTGTATCACAATAATGAAAATAAGTCTAGCTTTTTTTGTCCACTAGAAAGGTTACGTAGGGCCTAGTTGATTCACAACAAGCGCTGATACATGTACTAAAATGGGACACATTCTTTATTATTGTCTGACTGCAAAGAAAAAAAAACAACAAACATACAAAATAACTTTTTTTCTCCTGCTATTATTATCTACCACCTTATATTCAAACTGGTTGAGTAAGTTGAATTAACTTCGGCTCAAAAAAAAAAAAAAAAAAAAAAAAAAAAAAAAAAAAAAATGCACTTGTTGTTGAAAAGGTGTTCTTTTAAAAAAGTAACAACTCTTCATTTTGGAGGGAAATTTGCTATATAATACGAAGAATATTCCTAATAATAATAATAATAATAATAATGTAATAATGAATACATAAAAAAAAATAATAATTTAAAATAAATAATAAAAAAAGACAGATCTATATATACAACCGTAAATAAATACGTTAACTCTTCTATTTCTTGTCCTTTTGCTTAAAGGTTTAGAGTAATTGTCTCTTTGTACAGAAATTATACTGATTTAACATGTGATTTAATTTTTTTATGATATAGTGGTACTTTGTTTTAACATAAAAATAAATAATAATATATTAAATAATATATCAAAAAATAACATATTAAAAAGTCTGAGCCTTTTTTCTCCAGTCTATGCCTGTATACTTTTTAACACTGAGGCTTCAACATACTGAAACAATATACACTTATATTATAGCTCAGTAAAATTACACAAAAACTATTTGTGCAGTGAATTTTCGGTTGGCACGAAATGCGAAGTTCTACTCCTCCAGGAGTAGATATTATTAATAATCAAATATATTAAGAAAATCAGAACTTCTTTACTTTCTCTTTGACAACTCAAATAATATCAGCTTTAGTGAAAACAATGCTAACGTGGATTTACAACTTCTATATTTCTGCATACATACTACTCATTTAGCTGTCAATTCAGCATTTTGAAAAATTCAAAACTTCGGTTCAGGGGCCGGTTTCACAAAGCAGTAGTTAGTTAGCAATCGGTAGTTAGCCTTTCGCTAGTTATAGTGCCGTTTCACGAAGCAGTCACTAGTTCTCTCGATTGTTATTGTCTCGTTGTTGCCTTGGATATTTAACGACTGGTCAGACCAGTCACTAACTCTACGAACTTTACGACTGAACTTAGCGATGAGTTAACGACTGCTTCGTGAAACACCCCACGAAAATCGCTAAGTTTGCTCGTTAGCGAGGTAGTTCAGTAGTTAGTTGTTCTAACTAACTACTGCTTTGTGAAACCGGCCCCAGGATGGTTATACACAATCAAATTTGCCAGTTTTACAAATTAAAGCAAGTTTTGATCTGTATTATACATGGCTTGCTACATGCTGGTTGTAGCATATGAACTCCAAACAAACAGGCAATAAGTCTGAACCCATGAATAAAACACTACTTTTAATATCGACTGGTATCATTTTCAAGCCCTGACTTTCCTATAATTATCTTTGGTTGCAAGTCCAGTATATATTGTATCAATTCACATCTACCAGCATCTGCATCTGAAATATTAAACATTTATATCATGAATAGAGAAAAATACTGGTACGAGACCCCATTTCAAGCAAAATAATCAATATAGGCGAACCTGAAACTTGACCACAATTCCATCAAAATAAAAGAACAAAACATAACATCCTATTCCAAAAGCCCAATATCTACTGTAGGTCGTAATACAGTAATTACTTGATCTTTTCAATGGGGGGGGGGGGGGGGGGGGGGGGGGGGTGAATTTTACAGAATATGCTGTTACAGTAGTTTTTAAGTCAAATTTTTTTTTAAATTCCTATTGAGTGACAGCAACAAAATTAAAAAGCAGGCTACTTTGTAACTGCAGTAAAAGCACCACAAATACTAAATAAAATAAAATAAAAAAATATATATAATTTTTGTGATTATGAAATTAAGTGTCTTCAAGTTTTATAATTTTTGCCCATCAAGTAACTACCATAAATCTGGATCAGATCTTAAGCTTATCTTGTAGTCCCTTAATGCCAGCACAAACCCTGAATACATACCTTGTCGATCTGCCCTTTTAAACTCCTTAATGTCTCCTCCGTCAGGGCCAGCTTATTTTTCTCGTCAAACTGCTCTTTATCCAGCTCTTCCACCCTCTGCTGGTACTCCCTCTTATGCATAGACAATGCCTGAAGCTTCTCCTTCAGCATTTCCAGCTCTTTTCTGATTCTGCAAGAAACAAAGAAATACAAATCAATAAAATAAAACAAACAAATGATAATAATAAAATACAAACAAACATGGATTGTGTGGTGAGTCATCATGACATTGTCTTCTGTATAGTAAACAACATATTTTATTTTAGAAACATCATACTTTTATGCTATACTTCTATCTGCCTGTTGTCTACATATCAATTTTGTCTCTCTGCTAATGTACCTATATGAAAATGATGGAATTCAGGTACTTTTACGCTATACATCTATACATCTATCTGCCTGTTGTCTACATATCAATTTTGTCTCTCTGCTAATGTACATATATGAAAATGATGGAATTCAGATACTTTATGCTATACATCTATCTGCCTGTTGTCTACATATCAATTTTGTCTCTCTGCTAATGTACATATATGAAAATGATGGAATTCAGATACTTTATGCTATACATCTATCTGCCTGTTGTCTACATATCAATTTTGTCTCTCTGCTAATGTACATATATGAAAATGATGGAATTCAGATACTTTATGCTATACATCTATCTGCCTGTTGTCTACATATCAATTTTGTCTCTCTGCTAATGTACATATATGAAAATGATGGAATTCAGATACTTTATGCTATACATCTATCTGCCTGTTGTCTACATATCAATTTTGTCTCTCTGTTAATGTACCTATTTGAATATGATGGAATTCAGGTACTTTTATGCTATACATCTATCTGCATGTGGTCTACATATCAATTTTGTCTCTCTGCTAATGCACCTATATGAAATTGACAGAATTCAGGTACAGTCAATGTACAATACAGATCAATTAATATTAAATATCACAGAGGCTACTTCATCATTCAATTATTCACTTAGTTCTTCTGTCAGTTTGTCCATCATCCATGTACCATAAGCACGGTAATTACTACATTATTTCAAAGGGTCAAAATTGCTGTATTTCCTTAAAGGGATAATAATTCGTCGTTTCTGCCAAAAAATGAATTTTCCTGGAGTAAACAACAATTTTCCCATACTTACCAATGGTTAATGAATCCATTTCTACATTCAAAGTTAGCCATCAATGGAGGTTACGTGGTCTTAAGACAAGCTCAGATATCAGAATAATAACTATAACTGCCGTTTTTGTGGTAAAACAGAATATATTATATTTCTATGAGTTATTCACAATGTTTTTATTGTGAAATATAGATCTCATACGAAGAGTTATAATCCTTTTAAGTCAAAATTTCTTAAAGTTTCAACACTCCTAGGGAGTGGAGGCAACAAAATTGGAGCATATATATATATGTAGTTCTATTCTTTTCAGTAAAAGCACCACAAATGCTTCACAGAAATATATTTTTAATGATTTGGGAAATATGTATGTAAAATATTGATAACTTTCCTCGCTGAAAAAAATGGGGTCATATCATATTTCCAATTCACTCCATGAGACAGGAGCTTACTAGTACATGTACAGTTACCTTTGTTCCTCCTGGATTATTCTATCTATCTGTGACTGTTGCTTCTCTTTCTTTTTCTGTAACTGCGTTAAGTTTGTCGCTATATCCTGTGTGGTGGCTTCCAGAACCTCCTGGCGCACTAGCAGGGAGTTCAGTTCAGCATCGTAGTTGACACGATTTTTCTTATCGGAATACACAGCACATTCTTTCTCACTTTGGTAAGTGTATTGACTGGGCCTGTAGTCACTGACATCCCCAGCACCACTGTTATCCGTTGCTTCTTTGAAATAGAAGTCTGTTATGACCTTCTGGAGTGCAATATTGCAAGTTTTGGATGTGATAGCTGTGCCGCAGAAAGTGCAGAATTTCTGGGGCTCTGCACACGTTTTACACACGGTGTGTCCACATGGGATGAACAGCATGGGAGAATGGGAAGCCTGGACCTATGAAATAGGGAAAAGAAATAGGGTAACTTGGTAAGTACTGAGTGTACATACCCTCTACCTGGGTCACTGATCATAATCTCTGACAGTGCAGAAAAGTGCCATCATTCAGGGGCGGATCCAGAGCTATTTTCTGACAGTCTTCTAAATTATCTTGTTGATCCTGTATTTTTGACCGTGTTCTGAGAGACAAAACTAGATACCCGTCAATGTAAACTTGAAAATCTGACCGTCTTCCAGAAGACCCTGAAGACGGCCTCAATCCGCCCCTGTCATTTATCTACAGACATATCTGTGAATTTCTAGTAAAAAATCAATATGTGACTCTGGTAGAGGGTAATAGGTACTGGGTTCTGGCTGAAGTTTATAACAAACAATTGATTTTGAAAGAAGAACGCTTGCATTATTGACCCCCACACACCTAAAAAAAAAAAAAATAATATAAAAATTAATGAAATAAAATAAAATAAATAAAAATGGATAACTAAAAAACTGAATAAATATATTAGAAATACATGAAAAAGACAGTTTGCCAAATGTGTTGTGCAATTTTCTGAGAATTAACAAAACTTATACATAAATGAATTTTGACCTTGAAAAAAAATTATAAATTTGACATAATGAGGTCTTTGAAATTTGAACTGCTGCTCACAACACATACACTGTCACACATACACTGAAGAAAAGAAATTGTAAGACAGTTTGTGCCATATACTTTTCAGCCTACTGGCCATTAGAACCACCATCTTCCTAAAATTTACTGGTCCAAATGAAAATTCCAGTAAGACTCAAAATTTTTCCCTAATGCATTAATGTTAGTAATGACATGACCTTAATTTGGCATACACTTTTTTTTTGGCATTACAGAAAAAAAAATTAAATAATTCCAAAAGCCTTTTTAAAAACTTAGAGTAAAATCTAATGGCACTGTTGGACTACTAAATTCACCCATTCTAAAAAATTTTTGGGTCCAAATAAAATTTTACTTGGCTAACCAGTGACTGACGCTGCAGACAGATATGATTCATTGACATCTGTAATTTTTTTTTTTTGCAATCAGCAGTGTTTTTTTTTCTTCCACATTTGGGTCTGATTCATGAAATTGTAACTTTGTGATGCACTAAAATGAACTCCTGTCATGATGAACTTCAGTAAAAAATAAATGTCACAATATTACTAAGTAGCTTACCATTGGCTTTTTGCAGATCACACATTTGTGGCCTTCTAATCTGTTATCAGAACATCCTGAAGTATCCTTTTTGACTTTGTTTATTATTTGACCATCTTGGATATTCTTTCCAATTTTTGCTTTTTCTTTCCTGGCAGAATTTATTTTTTCCGAGGTGCTTGTTCTCAAATCTTCTTTGACACGCTTTATAATTTGGTCGGCTAAGGTATCAAATTCCTCAGGTGAAAGTTGTTTTCTCTGTGTCGCACCACCTGATGCGTCCCATTTCAGCGTTCTTGATGACAAGTCCTCTTTTTCATATTGATACCCCTCATCTGATTGGCCAACAGAATCCTCATCATGAGAGCTAAATTCTGATTGGCCAGTTGAGAGAACAACACCATACCTACTTAGTGACACATCGTCAGATTCTGTGCGGTATGAGGCCGCTGAATGTGACATTGTCTCTACGTTTATTTTCTTCTGCGAATCCTCAGTCCTTACCGACTCTAAAACCAAATCTGAGTTTGGAGTTTCATTTGCTTCTTTCCTAGCATTCCGCCAATGCTGAAACCTGTTCTTTGTGTCACTGGTCAGAGGTGCTCTCTGACGGTGGGTGTTTTTAGCTGCTGGAATAGCTGGCTGTTGCTTCCTGTGTTGTTCATCCCTGTCTTCCACTTTTCTTCTGTGAGATAGTTGTGTTGGTCTGGCATAACTTGGTGGAGACTTGGCAGCCGGTTGACCTGGTACAAGAGTTATATCAGTTTCTTATCAATATTTAGTTGTCTCATAGAAAATTTTTCTAAAGAGGGCCATGTGTATACATTTAACATGTTTTGCCCTCTTTACATAATGTTTATTATAATTTAAATTATTATTATTGAAAAGAGAACTGTGAAAACTCTGATGTACAGAGAAATTTAAATCACTCACACACAAGTTGAGAGAGAGAGAGAGAGAGAGAGAGAGAGACAGAGAGAGAGAGAGACAGAGAGAGAAGAATAAAAGTCCATGTTACAACTATATAACAAGAACTGTTTTAAGAGCTTGGCTTGACATAAATCATATTAATGTTATAAAAAATTTAGCCACATATATACCATATTTGATTATATGTGACAAAAATAAATGCTTTTTCTTTAGCCATATTAAGTTTTCTAGCTCTCTCTCCCTCTTTTTTTACATTTAATACATATGTAGCTCTCTGTTCTCTCTTCATTCTTTTTTATAGAATCCCTCTGACAACTTGCTTACTAGATGCTACGGCTTGTTTTTTCCCACTCTTTTCTTTTCCATGACTGTGACTTTGATAATCTATACTAGAGGCTGAGGAACTGGCACTGGCTAAATGATCCTCTCGCTGCTTCATCCAGTTTTGTTGGCGTAGTCTTATTTCCCTCACCTAAATTATAAACAACGGAAAAAAATAAAATACGAGATTGGCATTTCCTATCTTTATAAAAAACAAAAGTGAAGAGTGCACTCTGTGCTGTCACCAACCATTAGCTACATGTATGAAGCTCTAAACTATAACTGTGCAATTTTCAAAATGCCACTTTTCCTGTGAATTTTTTGACCTGTTTTAGTTTTCAATGTATGTAAAAGTGTGTTGATCACATGTGTCTAATTGCTTGTACTAGTATATACAAACATTCTTGTACAGACTTTACGAAAGGCGTCGGACCGTCGGACATGCCTGGCAAATTTCGTCTCGGTCCGATAAAAAATCCTGTATCGTCGGACCTTATGTCCGGCGAGTTTTCAAACTGACTGGGAATGTGTAAATATAAGGAATACGTTGTTGTTTCTTTTCTGGACGATATATTTTACTTCATTCGAAAAGAGAGACGGGGTGAAAATCTCGGGGAGTTCCCAGCTAATTACACATAATTTATTAACCTCAGTTTCACTCACAAATACTATTTTGTGACTGGCTGAGGTTGGGGAATTCCTGAATGATGTAATGTACAGTCTCGTTTTCGTTTTCGTAATACCCTACACAACAAAATGGCCGCAACACATGTGCTATTTGCGTTTTTACAGACTTGATCCTCTGTTTCTTCATTATCAATCGTACACATTACTCATGGATAAGCCTTTTGCTTATAAAATGACGTTGTTGAACTTTAAACACTTCGTTGGTGCAAAGCGTGGCAAAAATGAAAACGAAGTGAGGAAGAGAAACGGAAGTTTAATAAAATTGGAAAGAAGGTAGGCCCTGGCGAACTTATGATCTGTAGGAGAGGAAAATAGTGTGTGCCGAGCGTCAGGAGTACTAAAGTTATCATTTTGATCAATAGCAACATAAATGTTACAGCTTTATTACGGGTTCTTAAATTATGGAACATATGTACGTATTTGCATGTACCGTTCATCACGAGTTGGAGAAAGTGCACATGAACTTGATGAAAGCTCACAGTTTGAGTTTCTTTTTTATAAAAAAAAAAGAAATAAAATGAAGAAGGAACTTAGACTCGGACTGGACAGTCCCTGTCAAAGCTTCAATTGGATGAAAGAGACTGTCTTACTATGCTGTTTCAAAATGCATATGTTATTGCCAAAAACAACGTGTGAAATGGTTATTTGATTAACAGACGTTTTTATGGACATACATTTGATATTACTAGCTACACATTCTTCATACTTGTAATGTTTTTAGTCCTTGTGTCATTCCACAGCGTCTTTTTCATTAAATAAAAAACAACTTGTTATGCAAGTAATTTTTTGCCTTTTTTTTTTTGTTTTTCTTTCTTATTTTACTTTTCTACAAATAAATATATATAAAAAAATTAATATTTGATTTTATGTCAATGATTTAAAACATTAGAAAATACACATGAAAACACAAATAATGTTATATTTCTATTATTTTACTTCGGTCTGACAGATTTTGTTTCGGTCTGACAAAATTTTCAGGCTTGTCAGACCGAATGTCTGACAGATTTTTTAGCCTTTCGTAAAGTCTGTTGTATATTTGGGTTGGAAACAAAACGTTATCAAGATTTTCATCAAAATAACCTGTCATTCATTTAGCCTTCACCCCTCCCTCCCCAACACCATGCATCCTCACAAAGATACATTTTAATTGATTTTAATTAAAATCAACGTTGGTGTTGAACAGTGGAAGGTGTTCCTTTTTTGAATAAGTAAGCGATTCTATTTTGGAAGAGGGGTAGATGGGCATTTTATACACCTCTATTACAAGTACATGTGTACTGCTTGTCTAACCAAGGAGTTGTATATAGTCTTCAACTCAGTGCTTACTTTTTCGTGTATTTCTTGTTTCGTCTTCTCTTTACTAAATTTTCCTTTGTGAGCCATGGGTCTGACAAGCCAGGAACTTCGTTATTGAAATTTTATCTGAAAGGCATCCAACTGACAATGTGAACTAGAAAATGGTTAAATCTTTTCTTCTATAGATAGAAATAGTCGAGCACCACCATTTTCAAGCTTTTCTGTTGCTATCAATATCAACGATAGATGTCGCCGTAAATGAAAACCTATTCTTTCTTTGCAATCCTCTTTTAAATTTCTTCATCAATTATATGTGGAAAAAAGTTATCACAGACTATCAGATATCCGAAATGTGAATGTGAATGAGAGAAACCAGAAACGACCCTCTCTCGTTAAGTTTTGAAAGTGCAAGTGTGTCCTCACCGTTGACCTCAAGCTTACGGGGTCGGCAAGGTTACGACCGAAAGGCTATCCTCATCGTCGCTGCTTAGATCTAAACCTGCACCAAAATTTTCAAAATCCCTGCCAAAATGTTAATCAATACCAGTATATCTTCAAATAAGTGCAATTTGCTTGGTAGTAAGTTTAACATCTGAAAGCAAGTTTTATATAGAAACCGTAATTAGGTCAACACGCCGCGACCACGTGGTTCTTGTTGATATTCGACGACTTCTGGGCCATTTCATCATTCTTTTTCTGATTGCATCATCGTTCAAGATATTTAATAGGCTATCGAGAATTTGTATCCGGCTTCGAATAACAGAGTTCTTCACAGGCAGACCTGAATCTGACAGAGACGCCCTGCAAATACTTGTAAGTGCAAATTATTTTGTAAGAAGAGAGACTTGGTCTGTACACGTACATGCATGTACTACTGGCTCGCTGGCTGTATATGTTTCTAATATATGTAAAATTCTGATCACATCATTTCGTTGTTTACTGTTCATTTGTGCAGGCGATGAGCCCCGACGTGAATGTTAAACACAGTTACATACACAGTACATATGACACGTTAATTTATCATATTTATGCATATGCATCTGTACAAATGTAACGGAGAATGACCGGCAGGCCAAACTGTTACTAGTACGCGAGGTGTACGTACCAGGCTTGATGTTCAGATACAGTCATGCTTATTGGGTTTTTATTTATTAAACGTGCTATTGAAAATCATTTATGGCACATTTACCAGTATATGCATGGATTATACAAGGCTATTATATAGGTCATTAATAGAAAATCAGTGAATTGATTAATCCTGTAGATCTAGTCACTATCCTGGATCTAATAACAAAATAATATAAACCTATATAAACCTGGCAGAAATTATGATAATTACCCGGATCTTTTCAATGGGGGGAAATTGTGAATTTTACAGATACTTTCATTTTTTAAGTCTTAAATTGCTTAAAATTAGAACATTCCTTTTAAGTGGTAGAACGTACAAAATTAAAAGCAGGCTACTAAAGGAAAAGCACCACTTTAATGCTATATAGAAATATATTTTTGTGTTTATAAAATTTTTTATCTGAAAGTTTGATTAATTTTTCCCTTTGAAGTACCATCCCAGATAGCAAGCATACGTTGGGCCAACGTAGGGGAATCGTTGGTTTGTTGGCACATAGTTGGCGTTGGTAGTAATACGTTGGCCCAACGTTGGCCCAACCACATCATAATATGCACAACATAACTGCAATATGCTCACGTTGGCCCAACGTTGGGCCAACGTGTGTATATTTATTGCATACGTTGGCCTAACGTTGGGCCAACGTATCCAATTTACATTAATACAGAAATATTTTAATTATAACAGAAGCATTATTCATTTCTATTGTGTTGTTAAAACAACTCAATAGAAATGAATAATGTTTCTGTTATAATAAAAATGTTTCTGTTCACAACTGAGAATCACATGTGCTTATCTATTGATCAGTAACATATAGTTTTTAGGATTAAATTAATTTTTTTATGAAGAGTTATGAAGAGTCAAATTCCTTGGGTTAAAAAACAGTTTTCTGCTTTTATTTGTCTTCCAAGCTATATACTCTCATTTGTAGTACATAGACTTCACCTATAAAAAAATAACTGAGTGAACAGATTTATATTTTTAAATAGTGCTGTGAAACATATTTTTTATTATTGCTATTATTATTATTATTGTTATTGAAATCAGACAAATGATTGAAATCTTATTATAATGTACAATTGTACAATATATAAATTTTAAACTTTATAGTTAGCATCAATTGACTTTTGATTAAAGTAAACTGGTAACTTTCACTGGACCAGATTCATTACAAGCCAGGTGTTTATCTTAACTGTCAGTTTGATATAAACAGTTTGCCTACTGCCTGCTCAAACAGGTCAAATAACTATACATAGCACAGTCTTAAGCGCGCGGTCAGTTGAGCCAATTCAAAAATCTAAGCCAGAAGGTCAGAAATGTTCTAAGGAAGAGGCAAGAATTACGACTGAAAGCATTGATTTCTGGATATAAAAAGAAGACATCTTTTTGGAAATTNACTTATAATTAGTTAAAGATGTTAATTCAACATGGATTCAGTTTTTGCATTTCAACTTGAGACAGCTAGTATGCATGCCGACCGCGACGACAGACCGCAGGTGACAGTTATTTGAAGCCTATACAGACAAATCTGTGTCTGTAAAATATATATATATATATATATATATATATATATATATATATATATATATTGCCATCAAGCCAATATTTGGTGATGTCATTTATTTTATTTTTTATTTATTTTATTATTTTAATTATTTAATTTTTGTCTATTTTTTTTTTATTGACAAGTGAGTTGAATGCATTGAACTAACGTCATTTGATCAATTTTGATTTATCTCTCTCTTTCTCTCTTTTCTTCAAAGTCCCCTCATCATATTTGCACTATTTGATATAAATTGGACTTGACATTTGAATGAACTGTTAACTTTTTAGAGCTAAGTACTCGTTCCGTTATTCTTAAATTCCGCTTTTTATGACAAGCCGGTCAAGTACCCGGATGTAGCGTTTTTAGAGTTGTGGATACGAAGAAGCACAGGCGTATGAAACTGATACAATTCGTTGATTGATTCGATTCGTGATGCGATATAATTCGAAGGTATCAACACTGGAGACGAGGATTAACTTTAGTGCAAAACTACGAGCCAACTTTCTTTGAGAAAATGGAGGAAAAACGTGAAATTACGAAATTCGAAGCGTACAGAAGTCCGGAGAAATACGGGCCACGCTGGCTAGACAGTTTGCAGGATGAGAAAGAGAGAGATAAATCATTTGCTGACGGAAAAGGTTTGATCGTTTCAGAACCAACGGACGAAAAGAAATAATGAACAAAGACAGAAAATTAAAAAATACATGTCAGAAGAGACGCGCGCTGATGTAGCATTCAGGGGGACGTGTACAAGATATTTTCATGACTCTCCCAAACATATTGCAGGTGTGAAACATGGATACACNTTGCGAGCCAACTTTCTTTGAGAAAATGGAGGAAAAACGTGAAATTACGAAATTCGAAGCGTACAGAAGTCCGGAGAAGTACGGGCCACGCTGGCTAGACAGTTTGCAGGATGAGAAAGAGAGAGATAAATAATTTGCTGACGGAAAAGGTTTGATCGTTTCAGAACCAACGGACGAAAAGAAATAATGAACAAAGACAGAAAATTAAAAAATACATGTCAGAAGAGACGCGCGCTGATGTAGCATTCAGGGGGACATGTGTACAAGATATTTTCATGACTCTCCCAAACATACTGCAGGTGTGAAACATGGATACACATAGACTGTTAACGCTTTAAATGAAAGTGCAACTCCAGAAACTGTGAGTATGTTAAAAACCGAAGTCATTTGACAAACCAACTCAGTCTAAACACCACGACTGAGAAAACATGGAACGTGCAACAAGTCTGCAAAACTGAAACTAATATTCATGTATATGACAGTTATGAACATGATAATCCAGGAGTGCATATACATTTGGTGTGGGGTAACCAATGCAATATACACTGAGACTTGGTGGAAATAGAGATAGGCGGCATTAATCTCAGTGTACTAGCTGTATTACCAGATTCAGGCGCATATTGTAATATCATTGATGAAAATACATGGGGAATGCTGCAATCCAAGGCTCTGTTCTCACAACTTTTAGATCGATCTATCACCGCGGGGAGTCTCACTAGATTACTGTCAGATAATCCCCCTTAAGTGTCCGTCCCCGCCTACTACAAGCTTTAAGGGGTAATTAACTTTCGTGTCCACCCGGCTGACAGCTATTTAGCGTGAACCCCCAGGGAGTTAGGTCGATCCAATGTAGGTCGATCTAATCTATGAGAATGGGGTGCAAGAGAAAAAAGAATGCGTCTCAGGCTCTTGTGGAGGACCACAAAACAAACAGTATTATTCAGACACGTCTGAGAAACCTTTAAAGTGAAGGGAGCATTTGAATGTGACTTAAAGGCAGGCAAAGAAAGAGACCATGTGGAATTTGTAGTAGTGAAAGGGAAATGGGGTTTGATATGAGTTGATTAGATTTGAGAATTTTCAATGTGGTTAGAATAATTATAGTTGGAGTTCATATGTTATTCTGCAAATGTTTGAAAAGACAATTTAAAGACTGAACTGTCAATTAGCATATATTTGAAAGGACAGTTTAATTCTCTTTAACAAAGGAAGAGATGTTGTGTTTTTACCTGACATTTAAATGAGCTGTTGTTAATTTGGTAGATTTACTTGTTGCATTGTTAATTCCTTTAATTATTATTAGCTTGTCAAGGAGCCTGATGTATCATTTCTTAGTGATATGGATATGAAAAAAGCACAAGTGTTCCAAACTGGTTCAACTCATTGAGTGATCTTATTCATGATGTAATTTTATTCAAAAGCATCAACAATATACTGGGTTTTGTGTTTGTGCACATGTAATTGTCTTTTTATTGTACATCTATATCTATGGGGTATACATACTTCTTTTTTCAGAGTTTGCATGTATGTAGACAGCATGCAAGTTTAATTGAAACAGTTACTGCATGGTTATTTATAATTTTGTTATAATGAACTCTCTGTCATCTAAAAAACAATGTTTTTTCATTCATTATTCAAGATTTATTTATTACAGAACTAGTGATTATGATTATTAATGATATGTTTGAATTATAATTTACTTTAAAAATGACAATGTATAGTATAATTTAGGTTAAGGTGTGCAAAAATCCCTCCCCNACAAGCTGTACAAACCTCCCTTTCTCAAATACATCATGGATGATTGTATTCAAACTGAAGACTATGAGGATGGCAATGAAGATATGGTAGATTGTCTGGATGTGACTCACTTCAAACAGATCACTGAAATAAAAAAAAAGATCAGATTCCTGATATTAAAATACAAAGACATTGTGTCAAAAATGTAATCTTCAGTCAAGCATGGATATATATTATTAAATATATATTTAAAATGACATATGATACAATTCAATGATGAAACATTTGTAATAAATAATTGTATATCGTATAAGATATGTAAAGCCATTCAATATAAAATACCTGCATTATTTATTAAACTTTACCTTGTTTTTGCCATAAATAAATAAATAAATAAATAAATAAATAAATACCTGCATTTAAATGTGGCAGAACTGAATAGACTTGCTTCCTTCCTACATGCCTCATTTTGTTTTGTAATTTATTATCATCATTTTTATTACTACTGCTAGCTAATTTATCACTGGTATAGTGAAAAATTAGTTATTTGTCAAAAACAGAAAAATGCCCTCCAATGAATGCAAAAAACATGTAGTACTAATATCATTATCATTATCTTCATCACCATCGCTATTATCATAAACCAGCTGTACTCACGTAAGTACTGAATTTCTTGGAACAAACACCTTGTCTCGTGGCTCCCCCTTCTTTCTGAAATTGTTAATTAATATAATATTTGACTGGTTACTGGAAATATAATGAAACTGTCCACCTGTCTTATAACAATGAAGAGTTAGCTACTACTAAAAATAAACAGTTACTTTTAATTAAGTGGTCAACAGAAGATTAATCTTGCACTTTAAGATGAAAATTTGACCCAAAATTTAGAGCCAACTTTCTATCTCAATGTTTTTATGAACCTGACTCCCTAGTCAAGAGGCACCTGCAGCTATGAGCAAGCATTCGTAAACGGTCAGGTAATACTCACTTCTTTGGCTTTGTTGCCTCCCCATTCTGTACATAGGAGCTGTCCAGGTCATAGTCTTGTGAATATTCATCTAGGAAATCAGCAATCTGACTGTCTACTTGATCAACTAGGTCCGACTTCAATTTCTGAAATCAATAAATTAACCAAACAATTAATTAATCAATCAACCAATCAATGAAACACCATCTTCAGAATCAATAAATTAACTTCCTCCTAAATAACAGAAAATGGACTAGTGAAGGGCGCTGAGTAGAATACAGATAGGCTAGTAATTATATGAGTACGCTAGGAACAAGAGGAAGCATGTTAATCGGTTAACCAGCATACAACAAGACTCCCCACAAAGTTGCATCAACCTATGTAGAAAGATAGTTTTATTGCAAATGCCCTTACAGAATATATGGTTGCAGTTACAAAGTCTGGAAAAAGAGGGGTCAGAATAACTAGACAAAGTGGGATAACTGTAACTGAGGTGGGTGAAGCCAAGAAAGGTTCAAATAATTTTACTAGAAAAATGACAACATATAAAGATGCAGAGTAAAACACGAAGCGCATCTTTTTCTGTCCAAATACACTACTGGTGCAACACTGTGTTTTGTAATAACTACCTCAAGTTTTTCCCGTAGCTTTGTGGTCTTCAGCTGTTTATCAAAAGCCACATCTCCCGTCCATAAACCTGAAAACAAAATGATTTGGAAAATGAAATAGTCATTCTATTAAGATTAGCAATATAATAGAGAAAACCAACCATTAAATATTAGAAGGACTGAACTTTCCTTATGCCTACATAAAATATAGACTTACTTTAGTTTATTGTAAATATTTTATATCTCTTTTAATTTGTTTTTAAGGCCAGTCTTTTCAACTAAAACTTATCACTTATTCTGTCTCATTCTACAGTACATCTGAATCCACTTAATAGATATGAGATCTTTATTATTATAGCAAGCAATGCAGGGGCAGATTTAGGGCGTCTTCTGGGTCTTCCGGAAGACGGTCAGATTTTCAAGTTTACATTGTCGGGTATCTAATTTTTTTGTCGGAAGACGGTCAAAAATGAAGAATGGATCAACAAAGATAATTTGGAAGACTGTCAGGAAATAACTCTGAAACCGCCTCTGCAATGTACAGTCACGTGTGTGTGGGGGGGGGGGGGGGGGGGGAGGGTACCTTGGGTAGAGGTGCGTGTACTGGTATATCCTAATTTCTCATGCCTTAACGCTTATGTAACCAAGCCTTCCAAGGTTATATAACTTATAACATATTCATGTGTTGATATTTATACAATTTATTCCTCAGCCTAAGGATTTACAGAGGTACTCCTTCTTTATTTTCCTCGAAAATCAAACCCCAAGAGTACCATTTTCAGTGAAACATTAAACTCACTGAAGCACCGTGACTCATTCCACGGTGTTCTCAGTTGACCCGAGTGACCCGACGGGGGAAGGAGGAGATCTTAACAAATGGATTATAAACGAACGCGTGCCTCAATGAAATAACTTTCGTTCGTATTGACATAAAGAGTAATCTTAATCACATATCTTGATGTGTAGTACTACATTTAAAATAAAATACCTGTAGGCTCGGCGATATTTTTCTCTCCCGCTTGTCGCCGTCGCAATCCCACGTTATCCATTTCCTTATTTTGTTTACTTGTAGATGGCACTAGCACAAGAGGGTCTAAGAAAATAGTTTTATTTTACCTGTTACATGAACAAAAAATAGTAAAACATACTTAATGAGACATATAATACTACTAAATATTATAATTCTAAATAAAATATCACTGGTGAAGTTCGCCGAACAGTTACAGTGTATATGTACACTAACTAACCCCATCTTGAAATTATCGCCACCTATATTGAAGAAATAGGTCATTTTTAGGAAATCATGTGACAATATTGGGTCATCAAAACAGTGATTTATATCTGGATTCATTGGTGACTTATTAATGATAAGGTTACGATTGCAATTGGTCCTGCAATCACCTGATAATTGTGGAAATTCACAAGGCGCTGGATTTTAAAACAAGGAACACATGCCAATCGAAATGTGTGCGGATTTCTGTTCAAATTTCAGGACATTGTATTTAATGACCAACCGAACTCTCGGAACGTCGTCAGTGTCAATGCGGCATTTGTTTATACTGTGTTTGCACTTTCTGATTTTGCTGTCACCTGTTAGATCAGAGACTTGTACAATGCTTGGCCCATGTAGCTGTAAAACTAGCAAAGGGACTATCGACTTAACTCCACTCTCTGGGAACGGACAGGTCGCAAAGTAAGTGCCACTCTTACGCAAGAGGTAAACACGAATGAAAAATCGGTCAAACGGTCAATTTACCTTAGTCAGTAAGAAACGCTCAAAATGACAAGAAATACGCGGATCCCTATCTCTGAACTTACTAGGTCTACCCCCTCCAAATGAATTTATTCATAGAAATAAGAATGAATAAAGAAAATGAAAACGGATGTTCAGTCCACTTGGGACTTTGTAATTATAACAACTGCCTTGTTGTCAGGACACGTGTTTATTAGAATCAGCTCACTGAGATACACAATGACCTCTTAGGTCAATACACACATCATATAGGTGGCGCGCTGCACAATATGTGACATCTCCCCTTTTATGAAGAAACAGGCACTGTACAAGAATTTAACTTTAAACTTTAACTTTGTTAGAAATAGTGGCTTGTGTGAACCATTCAAAGCAGTGCCTGACTAAAGAGCAACAGTGAAACATTAACTTCAAATAGCAAACTGCATAAATCACTGTTCAACGTTTTCAATAAACAAGCTGCATAAAGTCACTGTTCAGTTCTCAATAAACAAACTTTCAATAACCAGTCTTTTCAAAACACACACAAAGTTTAACTTACTAGTCTACAGTACAAAACACAACACCTAAGGGAATCACTGATTATAAGTGTCAATGTTCCTTCTGTTGATAAACTGTCAACTTTGTAACTTCCAGACTAGTAACTTTTCACAGAAACATACACAGAGTTTAGGTTAATGAACCATGAAAGTACACATGCACTGAGATGTCATCAAAACAAACAAAACAAAAGGCAGAGGTTGCTAGCACATGCCTTATTTATAGATTAAGTCTATCTGGAGGTTTACTAAGCCTTCCGGACCTGGTATATTTCTCACATTGAACTCCAGATTTCTCAGTGCTTTCCTGGTGTTTCTTTTGATGATATTTTTTAAGTGGCGACTCAGATTTACAGTCCTGATTGACTGGTGACTCGGGTTTACTTGTTTCATGGAGATCAGGTATTTCCTGCAAATCATTGGAAAATCTGAAGTTCCCTTTTCTGAGGTGTCTTCTGTTCCTCCTGAATGAATGACCATTGTAGCTTACTACATAAGACCGAGGATGTGCGTCCCTCTTTACAACAGATGCGGGTTTCCATTCTCCCTGGCACTGAAGACCGACTGATTCTCCTGGAGTTAACTCGGGCAACTCCTTTGCTTTTCTGTCATATATTGTCTTGTACCTCTGCTGTTGTCTATGTAGCTGCTGCTTTGGAAATACTACTTGTGGTTCAAGTAGTTTGGTAGCTGTTGGAATCTTAGAACGTAAAGCTCTGCTCATTAGCATCTGGGCTGGGGAAAAATCCATTCCTGAGATTGGAGTATTACGATACTCTAGCAAGGCAATGTATGGATCTCTTCCATCACTCATGGCTTTCTTCAGGATTTTCTTAATAGTCTGAACTGTTCTCTCGCTCTGTCCATTTGACTGAGGATAGTGAGGACTCGAGGTATCCTGATTTATTCCCCATTCTCTTGCGAAGTTTTTAAAGTCATAACTCTCAAATGGCATATTGTCAGAGACAATTGTCTCAGGAATTCCATGTCTAGCAAATATAGACTTTAAGTGTAGTATCACGGTCTTGGCCGTTTTGTCCTCTAAGTAAGAAATCTCTGGGTATTTGGAATAATAATCTACCACAACCAGGTAGTCTTTACCCTTCAAAGTCATAATGTCCGCTCCAACTTTCTCCCATGGCCTGTGTGGTATCGCGTGCGGAATCAAGGGCTCCTTTCCGTTGCTTGGACGAAATTTACTGCACACCGAGCACTGGGCAACTATCAATTCTATGTCTGCTGACATTCCTGGCCAGTATAGTGAAGATCTCGCCCTTGCTTTGCATTTGTCAGCACCCAAGTGGCTTTCATGAATTAGAGACAACATGTCTGATCGTAACTTGGCGGGAATTACGATGCGCTCTCCCAGAAGAACGAGGCCTTCTGCTATGTGTAACTCATCCCTTACATCCCAGTAGGGCTGGACGTTCACTGGCAGCTCAGACTTCCTGTCAGGCCAACCGCGTTTTATAACTGACTGAAGTCTTAGAAACGTGTAATCATCAGCAGTGGCTGCTTTAATCTCCTCCAGCTTGTCTGTAGAAGCAGGGAGACTGGTAACTAGGCTGTGTACCATAACTTCAATATCCTCTGGAGCACCACACTTGGACCCATCCTGAATATACGCTCTAGAAAGCGTATCAGCTACATGCATGTACTTTCCTTTTATGTATCGGACAGAAATGTTGTATCTTTGTAGCTGTAACATCATACGTTGCAGTCTTGGAGATGCCTTAACGATAGGCTTCTTCAGAATAATTTCCAATGGGCGGTGATCAGTGTGAATCTCCACTTCTTTGCCATACACATACTGGTGGAATTTTTCACAGGCAAAACAAATAGCTAGAAGCTCCTTTTCTATTTGAGAATAATTTTGTTCTGCTGAAGTAAGAGCTCTCGAGGCATATGCAACAGGTCTGTTTCGTTGGAGTAAGCATGAACCCAACCCACTTTGAGAGGCATCTGTTTGAATGGTGACTGGCTGTGTCACATCATAAAACTGCAGAACGGGCTGCTTGCTTAGAGCTTCCTTTACTTGCTGCATAGCATGATCCTGCTCTGGTCCCCAATGCCATTCAATATCCTCTTTCAGCAGCAATCTGAGAGGAGCAGTTAGGCTTGACTCATTGGCTATATATGGTGACAGATATTTCACCATTCCCAAGAAACGCATCATTGAAGCTCTGTCTGTTGGCTGGGGCATGTTAATGATTGCATCAACTTTGGCAGGATCAGGTTTAAGTCCTTCTTCAGATACAATATGACCCATGTAGTTGACTGATTTCACTTTGAATTGGATTTTATCTTTGTTGAACTTGACATTCTGTTCACGTGCTCGCTGCATGAGCTTATGAACTATACTATCATGCTCTGCCTCACTGCTACCTGCAATGATCATGTCGTCTGCTATGACATGCACCCCGGGAATGTCACCAAATGCTTCCTCATTACGCTTCTGCATCACTTCACTAGCAGAGGATATTCCGAAAGGCATGCGCTTAAATCTCTTTCGGCCCCATGGGGTGTGGAAAGTGCAAAGATATGATGATTCTTCAGATAGTTTCACGTGCCAGTAACTATCCTTCATGTCAACAACTGTGAAGATGCATTTACCTGCTAGTCGGCTCTGAACATCAGCTGGCGTAGGTATCTCATATCTTTCACGCTTTATGGCCTGGTTGAGTGGCTTGGGATCGAGACATAGCCTAATGCTACCATTGCGTTTCTCTGTAATCACTAAATTGTTCACCCAGTCAGTTGGTTTGTCAACACTTGCAATGACATCTTGCTTTTCTAGCTGAGAGAGAGCCTCCTTCAACTTGTCATGCTTAGCAAAGGGTATCTTACGAGGAGCTTGCACCACTGGGGAAACACTTGGGTCAACAACAATATCATATTCTCTCTTATATTGTCCAAGTCCAGTAAAATTGTCACCATACTCACTCAATAGCTTGTCTTGGGTCAAAGGTACATTTGAAGACTGGACTATGTTCACAGGTACACGTTGTATAAGCCCTAGTGAAGCACATAACTGACGTCCAAGAATGGCTGAATAATCTCCTTCAGTCACATAGAAGGTAGCTGGCTGAGGCATAAGAGAGGGCTTGGTTGAGACTGACAGCTGTGCTTGACCCACTGGTTTAATTGTAGCATTTCCAAATGCTGTCAGAACAGCTTTAGTGGCACGGAGAGGCATCTGGCATACTTGCTTATAGGTACCCCACGGCAGCACATTGACATCAGCTCCAGTATCCAACTTAAATGTCACTGGCTTCTTGTTAATATACAGAGTCTCAGAATACTGCGTAGAACAATTGCTGTTTGTGAGACTACCAACGAACAGCCTCTCACCTTCATCACTGCCAACATCCTCCGTGTCTAGCTGGTGTATCTTCTTTGATGATAATGATTTCTTTCTGAAGCCTCCACCCAGACAAACAACGGCAAAATGATTTAACCCCGAACATTTCTTGCATTTCTTACCATAAGCCGGACATCGTTTCAGAAGGTGTGAAGTTCCACAGTACTTGCATTTAGATGTAACTTTGGCGATACGCTGTTTACTCTTAATAGCATTGACTTCAGGTAAACTTGCCGGGACTGTCATGGCGGCCATTTGCGCTCTGCTTACTTCTGCTGCACGTGCAATGTCAAGCGCTTTTTCTAACGTAAGAGAGGTTTCCCTTAGCAATCTTTCTTTGACTTTAGGATCCAATACACCAAATACGAGTTTGTCTCTGATTAAAAGCCTTTTTGTTCACCAAACTCACATTTGTCGCTTTGCCTTCTCAGCTCCGTTATCCACGTGTCTACGGACTCCCCTTCTTGCTGACTTCGGCTCCAGAATTGGTATCTCTCAAAAACTACATTGCGCCTGGGCTCACTGTACTGTCTAAATTTTGTTAAGACCGCGTCTACATCTTGTTTCTGTGAGTCATCTTCAAAAGTGAACGTGTTAAAAATATCTAGCGCCTCCGGGCCTGCAGTGTGAAGCAAGATGGCGACTTGCGTCGCGCCAGACTTTTCTCCTAATTCGCATGCATTATAGTACACCTTGAAATGCTGCTCCCATTTACGCCAGTTTGTAGCCACATTTCCACTCTGGAAATTAACGTGTGCAGGTGGTTTCAAGGTTTCCATTGAGAATCCCACTTCTGACACCATATAACAACTGCCTTGTTGTCAGGACACGTGTTTATTAGAATCAGCTCACTGAGATACACAATGACCTCTTAGGTCAATACACACATCATATAGGTGGCGCGCTGCACAATATGTGACAGTAATAATACTTCATACATACATGTTGCCTTATAACTGTGCTAACTTTGTTTTTTTTGTGTGTGTGTGTGTGTGTGTGTTTATGTGTGCGAATGCATATGTGTGTCCCATCCCTACGAGTGAAAGAAAGAGCTACTCACAAGGGTACATAAAACAAAATCGGTATAATGTGATTACAATAAATCTCTAGTTACATGTTTCAGGTTCACTTTCACCGACACTGCCTCCAAGGATGTCTACAGCTTTAGTCCATGTGTAGCTTTCTCTGAATTTACTGGATGTGCTGATGCTGCTGTAAGTTCAACCATAATATTCTCTTTTTAACAAATAAATCCTGATAACTAAGAGTAAACAGGGTTTTCATGGTCTCTAGATAGGATGATGAAATAAACTTAATATTTACTTAGAGACTAAATAACACCATTCAAACATGATGTTGCATGTTTGTGAGGTGGTGGACCAAAACTTCGTACTTGACAGTTGTTTTTTTCTTTTGTCTCTGATAAAAGAATAATTCTATTTTACTAGCTAATAAATCATTGTACATAAAGACTCCTGAGTGCTATTGACATAGATGAATGATAGCATTTAGATTATGAAGAACCAGCAAACTTAATATAAATTCAGGGGCAGATGGAGGACATCTTCTGGGTCTTCAGTATGTGTATGATCATTCCCCAGAGTTTCAGGTACCTTGGTCACTTTGCATAAAAGTTATATTATTGTTAAAAATATGTTTGAAATGGCCTACAAGGTATTGGATGCAACACTTGCATATGTTGCTAAATAGTTGTCAGTTTTCAAGCACATTGATTGATTGATTGATTGATCTTTATTCCGTAATTTAAGGCCCCGACCCAAAATACATATGCAACTTCACCATAATTTTCCTCTAGTAGTAACGTAATTATGTACACTGAATAAATATGAACATATATCCCCAATAGTCCTCTTTTTAAAGATTTTTAATGATTGTAAACACTATAATTCCTCCTTTAGGATTTCCCTGATTTTTGCTGTGATTGCTCCCCACAGTTCACCACTCATTTGAGCTTTGTTAACACACACACATATATATCACTATTACCAGTTTCTTATACTTCTGAAATAAATCCACATGCCAAAAATTGATCATTCGGCCAAACAAAAGCTTTAAAACTTCAAAACCTTCTTCAAATTTCTTGTTGTAGATTTAATCTATTCTTCCATTCCTCCAGTTTGTAAAATGCCACAAAATGATGCAGTTATATGTGATATATTACTCTGCTTTGTGCAAGAGCATAATTATTCAAATGAGTATTGACAGAAAATGACTGAATGTAAGATTGATTGATTGATTGATTGATTGATTGATCACAGAAAGAAAGCAATAGACCTAACCATTCAAGTCACTGCACGGCCCCATTTTTTTGAAATATGAAAGAAAGTGTTTGAATCTGCATGGTCATGGTGGCATTAGATCCAATTTGGTGGCAATAATTTGAAATTTCAACCATATAAAATGCACCATCTTTAAAATTTTAATCTAAAAAAAATGTCAAATAAACTGCTTTTCTTTTCAGATGTGTCAGCTGCATGATACTGGTTATTATTTACTTGGCAAGCAAGACAGCATGGAGTTTCTGGGAGACCCCCAGGCAGGCAGTCTGGTGATGCACTTTCTCCCACAGGCTCAGAGGGAGAGCAGGATAGCCCTTCACTGCAGTCCTGGGAAGGAAGGAGAGTTTATATTCATAAAAGAAGATCAGGATCCTACTACAAAGCAGTCCACTTTTGTTAGTATTTGCCATGTGTTGTATTAAATCTTTGTTCCATATGTGTGAATATTTGAATTTTATGTTGAAAACAGTTTAAAACGGACAAACATTTGTACTGTTAGTAATTTACAGTAAACAAATTTTTACTAGATTGCAGGGCTTTTTGTTGGACTGACTGTAAGTTCCAAATGGCAACTCCTTAAAATTGAGTCTTGGTCTTTGAACTGACATAACACAATTTTCTATTGGTCCTTAAAATGTTACCTCACATGACTGGTAACACTGACAGTTACAGCATGTCTGGTTAATGTGTTAAACTATAACCAACAGCATTTTGTTTTGGATAAGGAAAATGAAAAGATCTATTACTTTGATAAAAAAAATTTACTCATCAATATTGACGCTGTGAAAATTATATTCAGTATAGCATTGAATAATGTTATACTTATAGTTTCAATTGCATCTAGGGTTTGGAATTTAATAATTTTTTTTTTTTTCAGCAATTTAGTTTGACAACAAAGTACGCTTGTCTACCTGATCATAGTTTGAGTTTGGGCTCTGTACTCTGTATAATGTGAGTATTATTATCTAGGTACAACCCAGTGCAGTGTCACACCAAACACTGTCATACTGTGATACAATAGAACACTGTCACACCTACCACAATAGAACATTGCCATGCCTATCACAATATAACACTGTCACACCTAACACAATGTAGCACTGTCACACCTACCACAATACAACACTGTCAAACCTAACACAATATAACACTGTTACACCCAACACAATATAACATAGCCATACCTATCACAAAACCTTCTTAACTTTGCTGTGCATCAGCAGGTGTTTTGAACTGCACTGTGGGAAATTGAGAGCGCAAACAATAAGCTGGTAGGCCTGTCATTATCATTCATATATGGATATTTTGTTTCAGACTGTTAGTACTAGTAATCATCTACCTGGTCTGTGGAATTCTCTTCCTGAAGTTTGTGAGAGGGGCGCAGGGGGCAGAACTCATACCAAACCTAGATTTCTGGAAAGATTTCCCTTTTTTAGTGAGGGTAAGCCGTTAATTTAATTTTAATTTCTAAGGAAGATGTGTGAAACTATGTCACTTCATGGTACTGTAGTTGTTTATAATGGTAATATATATATATATATATATATATATATATATATATTTTTTTTTTTTTTTTTTTTTTTTTTTTTTTTTGCAGGAGACCCATATATACCTGTAACCTTTTGTGTCTTGCTGTCTTTATGTTGATTGTTAGCTTTTTTTTTTTTCAACATTCTAGGACGGATTTTATTTTGTCAAAAATGGTTGTAAAGAAGAAAGTACATATGAGAAGATCTAGACATCATCCAGTTGGCAGGGAGGCAGGCAGCTATTTCTGTGGGGTCATCTAACATCAATATCACTGTGTCATCTGTCACCATTTCATAAAGAACAAGATACACTTTGTATATGTACAGTGTGGGCAATGATTTTACAGTTTTCAATGGCAAAGGCTTTCAGAATTTTCTGAAGTGGCAATTAGGTTTAATAATTTGAAATAATTGAAAAGTTATTTAGGAGCCAATACTGTGATAACCAGCAAGATGTTTATTTTTCTTCATACAATTTTAAATATGATGAATATTGAACATTAAAATGTAGACACTAACCTAAGGGGGTCGGTCATAAATTTTTACCATCATTTTCATAAATTTACAAAACGTTCACTGGGTGGTTGGGGGTGTGTGTAAATGCTCTCTGTACACTTTTGAAAAATTATAAAAATGACGATCCAAACTGATGTCGAAGGTCACGGTTTTAAGTTTTTCATTTTATACTCTGGAAAGGGGAAAGGGGATCCAGAAGAAAAATGCTTCGTAGACAAGTTTTGTGAAAAAATGATGGTAAAAATGGTTGACCCCTAAAGATGCAAGTGGCAAAAATGATGCTAAGCTTATCCTAGAAATATATTTTAGATGTAAGTTTAAGATGTTAAGATTTATCTTTAAGACATTTGGAAAGTTTAGAGCATCTGTCTCGAATTGAGATTGGCATTTTCAAATGGACCAATATAGGTTGTTGCAATATTTATAAGCTTAGGTTTTATGTATTATGAATTCCATTCTTTTGAATATTGTACAGAAAAAAACCTCTTAGTTTTATTTCCTTTAGTTGTTTATGTAGTTCTAATTAATGAAGACTGCTATTGTGCCATTCCACAGGCAAGCTCAAATAACTTGTACATTGTACATAATCCATGTATGTCAGTGGAGTTGCCATTTTTATAATGAATAGAATTTTTGAAACTTTTTCTCTGAAAATTGTATTTTGCTGGACAACAGAGTTCCTTGAACATACAGGAAATCCAGTGACTTATACTTTTATGTTTTTAATGCTCACAGACTTATAGAATCTGTTAATCTTTCTACCAAGAAGGCAGGTACTAGTATTTAGAATTATTAGAGTATTAACAGGTGGCAACATCAGATAGGATATCTTTACTTATGTTTCTGTGTGAATAGTTAGCTGAAATACCATGAAGTTATATGTTAACAAAACTGGGATAAATGTCTACAAACAGTTAAACTTAGGTAATACTTCTCCAGTATTTCCATGTTTAGCCATACACCTTCATAAGGTGAAGCATTTCATTAGGACAAGGTGACCTGTCAGACACTAAGACATTAGGGTGGAAATATGTGTTGTTTAAAAGGTTAAGATACTGTGTATCATTAGTTATACAGCTTGACATTGGTTGAGAATATGATATCCAGTGTTTTTTTTTTTTTTTTTTTTATGTACAGACACAGATGTGTCTGTACATATTGCCATCCCCTGCGTCTGTCGTCGCCGATGGCGATGCCGATGCCGATGCCGGCGCCGTGCACTTTCCTTGTAAACACGATAAGTGGAGGGCNTTCCATATCGGCTACTCTCTGTTCGTTTTCCTATTCACTGTTTCAGAATATTTTTATTATGCCATTCATAGATCAGTTATTAATATATCATCTCTGACAGGATTTGAGCTAACAGACGGTGAGGACAAATCTCCAGTATATGTCAAATACTTACGATTTGTATATATTCAAGTACCGAGCTAATGAATATTTTTGCTCATTTACGAGTATATTGTCATGGTTTTCCACGCATTAGCTAATATATAAAACGTGGAACTATCAGGAGAACACATACACAGACGCTCAAAGTCTGTCTTACATCTTCACCATCTAATTTATAAAGATTGTTTAAATGAGCAATATCTATTGTTGAAATTGATTTTATCAGTGACTATTCTAACACACTGCACAGTCCTAGATAATAGGTCAAAATGTTTTTGAAGTTCACATTTACCACAGAATACATGTACATATATTTTGTTTTCAGATACTTCAACAACACCGGGATAAAAATTGGATATCTGGCGCCTTAGAGAATCAGCCCTATAAGTATTAAGTATGGGAGACATATCTGGCATCACAGCCTATTTAAAGATTACAAAATACGTCCCATGCAGTTCCAAAACACCGTGCAGAATCCTGACCTACACCATCATTACCGCTTTTGCCATTTCCGCTTTACTCAGCTTTGTGAAATTATCCGACTTTTATACGAAAATACGGGTGTCGATTCCCTACCCAAAAGCTGTGGCAAAAAGTCGATTACAGGAAAGAGAAACCACTACGTATTCTCTTGCGGCAGTCATCTCCGCCACGCCCAACAAGCCTAAGGTGATTCTGTCCTGGCGTCCCGTGCCGGGGTGGGACTTCATGCACCTCAGAGACTACGCCAAGCCGGTCTTTAAATCCATTGGCTGCAAAGTAGATAACTGTATATACACTGAGAAAAAGTCTTTAGCTGATAAAAGTGACGCTATTGTTTTTATAGGCAGAAGTTTGGGAAGCAAACCCCAAAAATTGCCCCATCAACGCTGGATATGGGTAACCCTCGAGAGCTCGTGTTACACCGAAGCCGCAGAAACCGGAGGTGTTTGGGCAGGGATGTTTAACTGGACCATCTCATTTCGGAGAGACTCGACCTTTTTTCTTCCATATGGTTACGCCAAGAAACGATCGACCCCTATTACTAAAAATTTCACCAAAATTGCGCTCAAGAAAACTAAAAAGGTGGCCTGGATGGTCAGCGACTGTGGGACACGGGGTCAAAGAGAAAGATATGCCTCAGAACTTAAGAAATACATCTCAGTTGATGTGTACGGTGCGTGTGGCCCCTTTAAGTGTTCAAAACGCGACAATGAAAAATGTTTGGACAACATTAGCAATGACTACAAGTTTTACCTGTCCTTCGAGAATAGTATCTCAACTGATTACGTCACAGAGAAATTTTGGAAAATGTTTGATCGAGACATTGTAACGGTAACGAGAGGTCCGGCAAATTATTCAAGGGCTGGAATAAAACCCGAGTGGCACATCAATACGAACGATTTTAAATCTCCTAAAGATTTAGCAGACTATCTGAAATACCTGGACGGCAATGTCAAGGCATATGTTAAATATTTAGAGTGGAAGAACCAGTATGTTGGACTGTTCCCAAAAGCAGATGTATACTGTGATTTATGTGCCAAATTAAACGACCCCAGTGAACCGGTGACATGGTACCCGCCGGGACAACTGGCCAAGTGGTTTATAGATGGACACTGTATTCCTCCCAATGATTTGAATTTTAACACTTAAAATACCCCCGAAACCAATTTAAAGTATGGAGTGAGGGGTTAATGTACGGTACATGTAAATGATACATATACAGTGTAGCTGAGAACAGATCATATTTCACTATTTGATTGTATCATGCTATTGTCTCTTGGTTTGTAAACACATCCCATTTCTCAACTAACGCAATAGATGTAAGTATGGTTGCGACAGGAATGGTTGTCATGGGGATAATCCGGGGTCCCGGGGTTGCAAGTCATTACAAATGTTTATATTGTGAATTAATGGTACCATCTTCAGATATTATATTGTTTCCATTTCTAAATGGTATAACATATGCATGGGGTTTGTATATTTAAACCAAAATAACATAACATTGGTCAAAGAGATGTGAAAGAAATGAAATAGTTCGTTTTTGTCTTCTCTCTGAAAAATGCAATTTACCGTGGCCTAGACATTGGCATATGTATTCTTGTTGCTAATATGCATCGATGTTTTTTTCCCCTCTTTTTGAGATAAAAAACATTTGTCAAAAAGTAAAATGCTAAAGTATACAGTCAGGGGCGGATTTAGGCCGTCTTCTGGGTCTTTCGGAAGACGGTCAGATTTTTAAATTAAATTATCATTTTTCACTTACCTGTGCGGCATTTTATTCGGGCGTCTATAGATTTGATATGGGGAAAAAATACCGGAACTCCTGTTGCGCGCAAAGGATTATGGTCTATATGAATAAGGCGAATGGTACATGTATTACACAACTGCAAAATATATAAGAAATAAACAAATGAATAAATCTAAAGTAATTAATTAATTAATTAATTAATTTTTAGGGAGAAAATACATCTATTACGCACTTTGCTAATGCAATCAATTTGAAAAACGCTATATCGCGACAATGAAAATTAATTGTTATTTTCCATGTAGTTTAATTAAGATTAAGCACTCTTCCTGTGGATTCACATTCTTAATTGCGGTCTTTCTCCTTTCTCCTTTCGTTCGTAGTTTCTTTTGCATTTTTGTTAACCATTCCCATTGCCTCCCCCAGCCCTTAATGCACTATCCAACCCTTGACGTTGCTCTAAAGGCGCGTCGTAAGTGTACTGCGCGGCACGTGGCTTCTTAGCAACCAATGCGTCTACACTCAATTACCACTCAGCGCGCCCCATTTTCCGCGCTATTTCATGGGAGTATGATTTATTCACGTTAACCGCATAATTCAACGGCGTTCACAATGCGGTCAGACAGACCGGTGTAACAGGGATGGTAGTCCGCTAAGAACAGTAGTCCATTCCCCATTACTTATATATAGAGGTGTCATTAGCCCCATGTACTAACCCCAATAATCCGACTATTCCTAACCTGTACCAATAATGTGGGACCCCGGACTTCCATTCCTGCCGCACTGGTGGTGGTTGTATATAGCTGTTTGTATAGAGGTCAATGATAAAATGACTCTGTATATTAAAAGGGTGAATGGAAATTACCTCCGCTCATAGTATCAGGATTTATCCACCTTAAAACAGTGTGAACGGGCCTGCGGCCAATCTTTGCCTACTTATTCTAGCACCCCGTTCATTTGGTTATTTCTGTCTCCAATTTTTTTTTACTTGACCCAGATTCCTCTATCGCGTATGTTTTTCCATCATTCCTCTCACATTTTGCTACCTCAGCAGCACTCTCACTCTGCGTCGACAATTTTCTATTGACACAGTTTTTGCTACTCAAGTTGTTATAATTTGGCCTGGGCTCAAGAATTCCCACAGAAACAGTCTGGTAGAGGAGTTGTGTTATGAAATGCTGAACTTTGAATGCAATTTTAGAATTGTGGATTCAACCGGTATATCCAATAGGCAGCACTACAGACAAAAGGTGAGTGTTAATGTAAAAATAAGTTCAATCGAGGATTGTTTTGGACCGGTGATAGGTCTTCATCGCACCATCAGCCAACCACAATACAAGGAAACTGCGACCTGTCTGTCATCCGGTAGTCAGACGACAAAAGGTGGACAGAATTCCGATCCAAATTACTCTCTTGTAAACACACCTTACAAAGAGCCATGCGCCACTCTGATTGAACCCTGGGAGCGGTATAGTTTCCACCTGTAACCTTACGACCTCCTACAACAAACTATAACACTCTGTAATTACATGTGTCGGGTGTAAAAGAACAACCTGTTGTTATTCGTGGAGAGACGGGTTAGTTTCTGCATGTGATCAGTTAAAGAATGCCCTAGTTTAAAAATCTACGTATGCAGTTTAAAGAAATCGTCTTGGATTACCCAAAAGGAAAACAGAACAACAGGATAAACACGGTAAGGTTATTGCATATTCGTAGGAACTAGTATACATATGGAGCAACAAAAATGAGCGTTTTCCATAAATAGACTGTTAGGCCACCGTTTCGATAAATTTAGATCAAATCAATTTAATTGTCCTGAGCTATAAGTTTTTATGGCTCTGATTTAGAAAAGAATATCCCTCAAAACAGATTTTATAAAATGTATCGATTTGTCTGCGGACCTGATTTAAGCCCTCTATGGAATTAGGAGTTTCACTGACCTATCCTCAGATATTGAGTGTTTTGATTAAAGCAACGAATAGGAAAACGAAGAATCAACCACATTCAAATTGGATATTAAACCGGTTTAAAGAGCCTGGGAGTCCATGCATGCTCCGTTATATACATATACATGTAGGTTATGGGGAGCATGATGTTATTGTGGTTCAAAATCTAGGACGGGGCTGTCACATTCAAAGTAACTGAGAGAGACTTTGTCAGGGGACTCTCTCGTACATGACATTTCCTATTTATAACTCAAAATGTACCTTCGTTCCCATTCCCATTCCCACGTTCACATTTTCATTTCTATAACAAAAAAAAAAAAAAAAAAATCCACGAGGAAACACGTAGGCCTACATGTTTTTTTTATTAAACATAAGACTCCGACATTAACCCCCAACAGTCATTGCTGTTTCATAATTTAACAAATTAGAAGTGATAAATAAAAAGAACGAAAAAAATTGCGTAGTCACGAGAAGCTGCTATAATACCCTTGTTTGCATATTGGATAGTTGTTTTTACCTACGTATACCCTGTGACATCAGGGGCTCCTACAATAATATACAAACTTTTGTAACAGACTACTATAAGATAAGATAAGATAAGATAAGATAAGAGTTTATTTAGCCAATTATAAAAATCGGAAATCGTTTTCCTTTTGGAGCAAGTTTGATAATATACAGAGTAAAATTAATCCAATAGATAAATTAAGAATTTGGTTTTGAGATCAAATTAAAATGCGTCACTGCATTTGGATAAAAGCTGTTTAAAAAGCGTTTACTGCCTATAAAAGTTAAAAGTCTACTATTGGCTTTGTAAAAACGTAAAAGTGATGATGCAGGATGAAAATATTCTTCCATGGTGTTGACGGTTCTTTTCTCCATTCTGTCTTCAAAAATATCAGCCAGCTTGGGTAGATCCTGCCCGATAATCTTGCTTGCAGTTGTTTTTACAGCTTTGGTTAGTTGCTCTCTTTCCTCCCGAGTTGACAACACAGTGGAACAATTTCACACATAAGAACGTGTCTGTGAAAATTGCTAGGCGTCGGTTACATGCTCAGAGAGTGTACAGCAGGGTAGCAAGTCTGAAACCTCTTATATCGATACAAAACAGGCAACGTAGAGTGAACTAGGGTCAACAGGATCTGGAACTGGACAGTCCATGACAATTGGTCCTATATATAT